AGCACGAGAAAGATCGTCATAGCAACCCAAAGAGAACGCTAGCTATTCTAAGAATTTTGGAAGATCCTGATCTTGTCTGTTCCTGAAATAGACTGGTTTGATATAGGACGACATCAAGTCTGTCGTCGCATATATCCGTTACAAAAGGGGGAGCACCAAGTGGTTCCAGCCCTGAATTTAACCCTCAGTTTCCCATTATACGTTCATATGCGTTAACATACACGTATTTCATGTACCAGATATTTAATGCCCAGGAAGATCATCTGTTGAGATTTTGTGAAACTTTAGAGAGCATCTGTCTGCAGAATGCACGAACAAAACGGTCTTCATATGCGGAGTTCCACTGATCAACTTATTTGCGTCATACCGAGTACATGTAATGACAATTACGTGCCCTTATATCAAAACTACGGACAAGCCCTGTTTTGTGACGCATTTTCCCACATATGGCAACGTTGTAAAACCCAGCGGGGGTGTTCTTTCCAGCTTTTTTGATTTCTTAGGTCCTGGATTATCTCAATCAGGCACAGAGAACGTACCTACTAGTAGTTCCTAAATGAGAGCGAGTTTTTGGCGTGTCTCGCTTGCCGTAGGTAGTACCCCGTTTCTTTACGCTTTATCACATAGACAAAGTCCTAATTAAGAACAAGGCGGCCACCACCGAGCGTCTACGACATGACCTTGGAAGAGTGGAAACGCGGGCCGTCTGGAATACTATTAAAATGATACTCTACACAACTAAAATCTCTTAAGAAGTCATGGCGTCCGTCAATACGTTAAATCTATAGTGCAGTCCTCAAAAGGTTGCACCGCACCGGAGGGGGGGGGGAACCCCTCCGCTCCTATAGCAAAGTTTTTGACTACATTTTTATCTATATCTGATCTCTATTGAATCAATAATTTGTCGTACAATTAAATTTTGTACAATCAAAATCTGTGGTTACTGTCCTTTGTTAACCAGAACCATATGTCCTTTAGCATTTATTGCTAAAAACTATACAATCAGTCACATTAATCTAACTTATGAAATAACACATCAGTTAGTCAATTAATCTCAAATGTAAGTATGTAAAACATGTTGTAAACGGTGATTGACCATGTCAATCCCCCTGTTTGGGTCATAAAGGATCTAGCTAGATTCTTACACAGTAAACGTATTAATAATCTTTCAAGTGTAGAGACAAACAGCTGTTCTATTTCTCCTAGAGGTATACTCCAGGAGAAGATTCCATGACTTAGCTTTGCTCGATATTGATTGTAATAATTACCGTAATCACAATGACGTACTAGTTTTTCGGTCGGTTTTTAGATCAAATAGTGATTCTGTTGATAGAATGGATAATAATAAACTAGCTTTCACCCCCGACTTTGCCCGTGTGTTTCTACCAAGGGAGCATTTAATCGGGATAAAAAGCATCCTATCACCTCAGTCGGACTATACCCTGCCTGTATACCATATTTCTAAAGCTTAGATCCAGTCCAATGGACTAAGCATACCATAAGAGGCATAACTTAATAGCGTAAGCTGTAATGTTGTGTCAATTTTGGAAATAATGCAAATTGTTATAGTTTTGTTTTATTAGACGTAAAATTAAACCGGCATAGAAAACTGTAATTGCGGTCAGGATCAAGTCCCTTTTTGGTGGTAACCGATATTAAGGTATCAGTAATCCCCCAAGACATCCTGAGGGTTTCAGATCAGCTGTGACTTGAAAAATTTGAGTGGATAGTTATCCTTTTGAGGCGATCCTAAGATGTGTGTGCCTTTGTATGTCACCTTTTTATTCAATCCAGTCAATCAGAAAATTAGAAACGAGGTAATAAAATACCTCAGAAATATATAACATCTGTTTTTGTTCAGATCAAATACAATTATTATTGAAAAATTAAAAATAACAGGTTTTCTATTCAATGCCTTTCATCAAAACATGTATATGTTTTTACTTAGTTTTTCTATTCTGTGATTTTACCACATCATACCAGGTAGTACGAATGCGGTCAACGCAGTCATACTACCTCACATTGGCGTCTGTCACTTCCACCAGGCGATAACAAACACGTCTCAATTAAATAAGCTTCGAATAACGGTCAAGTCAAATTAATGGAAGCGTTTTACCTACCAATAAAACGCATATTAATTTACTTACCTTATTCGAAGCTTATAGTCAAGCTCTGCCTGGTAATGAGACTCAATGAAATAAAAATGGCGAGTCTCGCTTAGCAAGACTCCCCACCACTGCCAAGTGGAAGTGACGTAGTAGAAAGAGATAGACATATAGAAAAAGCGGAAGGAGGGAAGCAGAAGGCCTATCTCAATTAAATAAGCTTCGAATAAGGTAAGTAAATTAATATGCGTTTTATTGGTAGGTAAAACGCTTCCAAAAAATGCTCTGATTGGGACGCTGGCTAAGTTGTCGCAAGTGCAACTGCCGAACATGGGGTCTCGGGTTCGATTCCCAGGTCGGGTAACGTATTACTGGGTTTTTTTTCAAAAAAACTCAGTAGTAACACGGAGTCTGAAATTGTGCTCAGTTTATGGCAATAGGCTCACCCCCTATTACACAGGACTAATAACATAAATAGTGAAAAGTGGGTGTTACATTGTACAGTGGCATTAAGTGCCGTAATGCATACCTCTGCTAACCCCTTCCTTCGGGGATAAAGGGCGTGATGTTATGTAAAAAATCTCATATGATTAAATAAAGATTCCTAACTGAACCCGTGGAGTTTCTTGCTCGTTCTTTTCCATAAGAATCTACACCTTGGAATGCGTAAGTAGCTTGACTTCTAAATTTTTGTTGTTGACGTTCAAAAGAGCCTTCCTGGTCTAATTGAAATGATTTTGACTTAGACTTTGACCAGTAGTCAGCTATTTTTCAAATACCCCATGGGCACTGAATATAAATTTAAAATCCCGAAAATAACAAGAGATTCCAATTTGGCGTACGTAGAAAAATCAACCAATCTCTATAAAAATAAATACTTACACCCAAACATGATCGAGGTCCATCCTGAAGCCGGCGTCAGTCTTCATCATCATATCGGGAGTAGTACTGTTACCGAAGTGGATGTCCAGGTCTACACTCTTCTCTATCTCCTTTACGTGCTGGTGACCGAGCGCCTGCGGAGGGGAGAGTGAGAGTGAAATTGACAGTAAGATTTATTAGATTTTTGATACTTGGGAAACTGTGGGATTAAGTCGTGATAAAATTGTATAAAGCTCAGAGAAAAAGAGAGATTGAGTTGTTATCATAATTTTCATGGAATAAGCCGTTAAACGAGTAGACGGATCACCTGACGGTAAGCAATCGGCGTCGCCCATGAACTCCGAAATATCAGAGGTGTTACAAGTGCGTTGCCGGCCTTTTGAGGATTAGGAATTTGAAGATTGTTAGGGAATTGGGGATATTGGGAGATTAGGGAGGGGGTGGGGTAATTGCATATGCCTTACGGTAACCTTAATCATACGACGTGCATGTTGGTTTTCTTCTCGGCCGTGGTATCACTCCGGACGAGCCGGCCTATGCGTGCCGAAGCATGGCTCTCCTCCACTTATTTTATTCCGATATCATAATTAATATTTCTGATAGCATGACAGTAAGAAGATGAATAAATAGCACACGACTTGCATGTGTTGCATCATACTTATATATTGTACGACTCTATTTGAAGCAAATTGTGTGCAAAATGCTATTAATTAAAGTCTAAAATTGCTTGACAATAATATTTCTCCCGATTGAATCAATCAAAGAGATTAACAACTACATACTAAAAGAAGTTCCACTAACCTTTATAAACAGATCTCCAAGAAGGAAGCTCCATTTGAGATCTCCCTCGCCTTTCATGTCAGGCAGCTCGTACTTGCACAGCAAGTAACCCGTTTTGGGACCAAATCTGTAATAATACAATAAAATTAATATTATGACTGTAATTATTACTTGTTAAAAGGAATAAGTTGGTAAACGACCAGACTGATCACATGGTAAGCAATCAGCGTCGACGATGAAAACCTGAAACACCAGTGGCGTTACAAGTGCTTTACCGGCCTTTTGGAGATTAGAGGAAGGTTGGGCATTCAGGGATTGGGGAGAAAGGGGAGTGTGGGGGGGTTGTTGGCCTCCGGTAACCTCACTCACACGACGAAACATAACACAAGCGTTGTTTCACGTCAGTTTCCTGCTCGGCCGTGGTATCACTCCGGTTGAGCCGGTCCATTCGTGCCGAAGCATGGCTCTCCCACACTTGTTCACAATCTATCAAATTACTTGTACAATACTCACACAAAATCAGTATCTCCCTTAACGTATCGTATCCTGTTGAGCGGCGTGGCGGCCTGTACGCTGAGCACTTTGCGCAGTCCCGGGTAGTTGTCCACGCGAGACTTGAAGTATATGTCCTTGTATTTCGACTTGGGGATGTCCAGCTGTAAAGGAATATTGGTTGAGTTAACCTATAGACTACTATCTATCTTAAAATATTTCTATGTGTTCCTGGATCGCTTGCAGCATCTGCAGCTGTAGCCAAATGCCATTTAGCGCTTGTCTTCTTGTAGAGTAGAAAACGGAAACTAAATTATATGGAATTGACGTAAATTTTGACACTTCTCAGTGTCATCCCCACACATTTAGTTTTCTACTCTCTCTGTAGACAAGCGCTAAAGTGGCGTTTGGCTAAAGGCACTGGTGTAGTTATGTTATAATATAATAATCTATACAGATAAATAAAATTGGAGTGTCTGTTTATTATATTAAAATAACTGCTTTTTACTACATGTATGAATACAATACACATACCAAAAACTTACTACTACTGGACCAATTTTGACGGGACTTTTATTGGCTGTTAGCTGATGTACTGAGGAGTTGCATAGTCTACTTTTTTTTGGAAATTTATAACGAAAGAAGTTACTCCTACAATTCATATTCTACGCGGACGAAATCGCAGGCAAAAACAGCTAGTATAATAATATTATTAGTTGATAAGGTACAATCCTATACTTAACTACAAGGATTGTTTATATTGTTTGTTCGAAATCAAGAAGTTCGATTACATTTTTCATATTCATATGCACAAAAATGTGTATCCTAAACCTTTGTTGCCTGCCCG